TTACAATAACATATAATAATAATAATAATATAAAAGCAGATAACATGAATCTATACATACTAGGTGCAATCCTCACCTGTATATATAATAATATAATATATATGATATAGCATTATGTGGAGAATATATATATATAATAATAACAATAATATAAAAGCTGATAAAATGAATCTACACGAGGTGCCATCCTTACCTGTATCATATAGAGCAGTTTATGCACAAGATGAGCTCCTTTAAACTGAGCGATGTTGAAGTCACACGTCTCAGGTCCCTCCCTGATGACGGTCGCCATGCTGGAAAACAACATCGTCCACACGGAGGCATCTGCCTTCGCCCAGATCCTCCAATCAAGGAAGACGTCGACGACGATGGCGGGGTCCCTGACCATGGCCGCGTCGTGCGTCGTCATGGTAACGTGTGCGCCCGTGCCGTCTCTCTCCAGCATGTTCACCATGAAGGCAGCATTCAGAAGAACCTGCGAGGACATCGTACGTAGACGCTATCGTTATCTCTGTTACTTCTATTACTTACAGGTGCACAGTACTTTGTCTGAAACCCTGAACCACGCACACACGCACCTGTAGCATGTAAACACAAACACCTAAGCAGCAGCAGCAGCTGCTAACCCCCTACCCACACCAATCCAGCGGCTACCTGAGGATGGGTGCCCCCCTACAATGCACACGCACGCACCTGCACGGCATGTAAACATGGACACCTAAGCTGCTGCCCCCCTCCCCATCACCCAGAGACTACCTAAGGGGCCTGATGATACGTGCCAGCCACCCCTACCACGCACACGCACGCAGATGTAGCATGTAAACACCAACACCTAGGGAGGAATAGCTCCTGCCATATGATAGTTCCTACTAGAGGCTACAGGTGGCACCACCCACCCCTACCACACACACACACGCACCTGTAGCATGTGGACACCGACACCTAAGTAGGGGCGGCAGCTGATAACCCCGTCCCCACCCCAGAGGCTACCCGATGATGTGGTCCCACCCCTACCACACCCGCACGCACACACACACACATGCTTACACATACATGCATACGCACACACGCACACACACACACACACATACACACACA